CCACTCCCTAAGCCTCCTAATGAGACTTGGTCTATGTAGAGAGTCTTGCTTGTATTTTTTGTCTTCTGAAGAAATTGGCACTTGGAAAAAATGATTAACTTCGTTGTTTGGCATTACATTTTCCTTTGTACCCTTTTAATATCGTTTCCATTTTACATTTTGATTTTGTACAGTGCATTTTATGTCTTAATATAGGACCCCATCGAAAATAAGCTTTCCTGATTCATTATTTGTAATTAATTTGCCTTGTAATTTATATTTTCTCTAGTATTTTGGGTATATTATGATATAAATAAAATAAATAAATTAAAGTCAAATCAAGTTTGTGCCTGACTTTAAAGAATAGTTCTAGTGCTATTTTGTGTAACTAGATCACAGTACTGCATTAAATTTATTACCACTCATTTAGTAGCTACATAAACAGCCATATACCGTCTACATTCCCTGCTCCATTCCGCAGCTAATTCGCAGGCACAGCTATCATACGCACATTTCTTTATCTTCTGCAGCTTCCATCATTGACGTCAGCAATGGTAAAACCAACACAATACGCAGTGTTTGCTTAGAAGAGACCGGGGGATTAGGAGTTGACATTATTATAGACAGTGGAGGTAAGAACACATTGCTCTCAGTCCATGTGAATAGCACCCCCCCAATGATCAAAAAGTAAGATTTACTGTACAGTATGCCTGAGCAAATATACAGCTCAAGTATATCATATCTCAGCTGAAAATGATTAATATTTCTTGCTTTAAACTTAGTTTTATATTACTTTATTGGTTTGAGTGTTTTATCTCTTAGCTAATGTCACAATTTAAATTATTTCGGAAGACTTTTAAATACATTTTAAAGTGTTTTTGTAGTTAAAAAACGATCGTACGTAATGACGTCATCGCCACAAATTTGGTTCGTAAAATCGAGAGTTCGTAAATACGAAGACAGGATCGCAATTGGGAGATGTTACTGCAATTTAAGTTAATTTATTAAGTAATTTAAAGTTTCAATGTCCTTTTAGTGAATATGTTTCCAGACCAACTGGAGGATGATGTCATTGCGAAAAAACAGAATCTTCCAAGTAAACATGAACTTATCTCATCGTTAGCAATCTGTGGAAGATGGGTAACGTCACATAGGGATTTACAGGTAGACTTTTTGTACTTGTATTTTGTATTATTGGTAATGATAATAGAAGACCATTCCTATTATCATTATTGTATTTGTGGCAAAGACAAGCCAAACCAGTCACTCGTCGCAAATCCTGTTTCTGATACATTGGCCAAAACATACTGGAATGTCAGATTTTGCTAATTTTATTGCACTAAACTAACCTTTATAGATCATGCTATGCTGTTAATTTCCCCATGTTCAATGTTAAAACAACTTCTTAAGGAAATGGTGGATTTAAATGATACTTTTACCATTTATAGCTCTCAATTTACATTTGGACACTGCAATGATGACAAAGGGCCCGTTCGAGCGAAAAAATATCCGTGCGATTTACCAGTTAATTCACCGGTACACACTTTCTAAAACCGCTCGGACACTAGTCTAATTACCTTTCCATCTGGATTATCCGCGACAATTTTGACCACCAAATTGCTGGGTAGAATACCGTGTATGGGATGACCATGGAGCCGGAGGCGATGATAAATCAACCTTAATTGTTTTTCCAAAAGTTTTGCCCACAGCCAGCGCCAAATTCAATAGGTTTAACTGCCCAGGCGTGGTTGCAGCTCTCCTTCGCCTCCTCACAAATGCATGACCAAGTCTAAATTTAGTAGCATATAGCTAAGCTATGCGATTGATTTGTAGATTTACCATTATTCGGAGAAATAAACTTGAATAAACTAGCCTACGTACAGATTTTAAAGCAGCCATTATAAATTATTGAGCTACATTATCGTTCCATCGTGCCGTGCTGTGTGTACGTGGGCCGGTTATAGCACAGCAGTAGCAAGTAAACAAAAAAGAATGGGTTGTTGACCATGGGATAAGTTGAAATTTTCTTCCGGAGTAGTTTCGTTACACGTATTTACCGTGAGCTAAAACTTGCTCGAACGGTCGACCACGCGCTGAGTGCTCAGCGCGATTACCCGGTGAAATAAACGGAATATGGTTGGCATTTTTTGCTCGAACAGGCCCAAATAGATTTTTGCGACCACTGACTGGTTTGGCTTGCCACATTTAAAATAGAAGTTTACCAAATTCATATAATGAAGATAGTCCTATTTTTCAAGAAAGTCATGATAGCATACCTACTTTTCACCTGTGTTTTGTCGGTTCACAAACTTCTAGCCTAGCCTAGCCTGATCATTGCATCTATCAGCGGCAGGCTAAACTGTACAGTCATGTATGCATATATTTCTAGGTTTTTCTTCACTCTCTGTCTTTCTTCACTTTCTGTCTTTCTCATTTAGGTCTACAATTACTTCTGTTGGCTATTCGATATTATTTTATACGTATGCAAGGATAGTAATAATACAAAGAATTGTCCTAAACGTATGCATTGCAAATGGCCTGTTGCTCAAATGGAGCAGTGCACCTTGCATATCATCACAAATTTAGTTTAAAGCGTCTACATTATGAATGCGCATAAGATTCTTAATTGCTTTTCCTCACTTAGCACTAAAGCCATGCTCCGGAGGGAAAACAATTTTTGGTATTTTAATATAGAACTGTTTTTTCTGAGACACAAAAAGAATATTTGCAAAAGACTTTAGATAAAAACTGGGGGAAAACAGAGGTGTAACTTCCCTTTTTTTCAAATATTCCAAGTTTTTTGTCAAAATATGCTTTTTATATCTTAGAAAACTCAGAAGTTCTACAAAATTACCTCCAGAGCTTGGCTTTAAGGAATGATTATAATTTTGTGAACAATTTGAAGTGAGCCCTCTTGAGTTCATATTCAAAACCATTGACACTCAATTGAGAATTTCATTATGCTTATTAATTGATGATGATCTTTTCACAAAACACGTACCGGAACAAGAGTGACCACTCACCAGTCTGCGCGTTCCTCCATGCCCAAATACAGTACAGGCGCAAGTTATTATATTGGGTTTTTTTTTTTGGAAGAGCTAATAAGACAGAAATTTTTAAATAATTAGAATATTTATTTGTAAAAAAGAAATATTACTTAAAATTTTAATTTGTAGAAATTTAAAATATTTTAAAATTGAGAAAAGAAAATTTCTTATAAAATTGAGAAAAAAAAATTGAAAACTAAGACACGATTCGAACCCACGACCTTAAGTTCTTTAGAACACATCTTTAACCAACCGCATAATCCATGTAACGTGGTAATGGCAGTAATGTACAGTCCTTGC